AGCATTAAAAAAATATGCAAATCTAGAAAAATTATAAAAATCAATGAAAAACTAAATTTTAAATCTAAATCATAAATGCTAGACCCTAAGCTGTAAAAAGTGAACCCCAATTCCAGATAAAATAAAAACTCTATCAAACTCTAAAATTCAAATCCTTAGTGCAATGCACATTCACATTTTTAGTGCAAACCTAACTTTGATAAAAACAAATATGTACAACAAATTAAAAAGGAGCAAAATATTATTTTCCGCTGCATAATCAAAGTCATTCTAAGTTCAAGTTCACTTGAGCTGAGGAATCTTTGAATTATTTTTTTTAAAAAAAAAAAATTATACAAGTCTATTCCTCCCCCTCCCCCTCTCCCTCTAAACTTGTACCCCTTACCAATCGGGACCAACATGTAATATATTAAAAATGAATATGTATCATGGGTCTATCTTGCTAAGTTGCTATGTGAATTATAGTTCATAGTATAAGCATTTCTCTTATGTTGGGATAGGGCGAATTTTTTTGGTTGGACATTTGCATTAAGTTAATTAGACATGGCATCTGAGGTAGAGGTGTTAAAGGGCAAATTATATCGTGGACCATGGTCTAAAACAGTGCCGTTTCTTTTAATGAAAAGAAATAGCACCCGTTCCGCATAAAGTAGTTCTATTTGTATAACATATTCAGTTTCATTTTATATACACTGTAGTTTCATTTCAACACAACTACAGTTTCATTTTTGTTCCAACTTCCAACTACAGTTTTATTCGACATTATACATACAATAGTCTTATTACACTGAGACATGTTATTGAATTTCATTTTAATTATTACAACACCATTAAATTATAATTCTAATTCAACTACGGTTTCATTGGACAATATATAGTTAAATATGTGAAATTGTTATTCAGTTTCATATATTTTATATACATTTTATTTTCATTACTGTTAATAATGCTGTTACTTTATATATTATTTCTCTGTTATAGTATGTTATTTATTTATCTGGTGCTAGTTGTTTGACTTAGACTAGCCTATTAGTTAGGAGAGGTTTACTTTTCCTAAACCTCTTTAGTATTCTAACATCTATCTGATCTAACTGAATTTGAATTCCTCTTCTCATCTGGTATCAGTTCTGCCTTAGGTTAGATCCTCCCACTTTTTCTCCCACCACCCCAAAATGTCGACAAACTCATCGGAAAGAACCATCACCACCACCGCCCCACCTCCGGCCTCGAACCCTCTATCCTCGGCACATCACTTTGTGTCGATCAAATTAACGTCCCGAAACTTCCTGTTTTGGCGTACGCAACTGGTCCCATTTCTACGGGGTCAGGAACTGCCAGGCTTAGTCGACGGCGAAATTTCGTGTCCACCGGCTACCGTCGACGGCTCTCCTTCCGGCGATTCCACCTCCGTCGTGCAGACGCAGCTGTCTCTGGCAAATTACATCGGGCAGACGCAGCTCATCGTCGAGGCTCTCTCTCTCGCTGGTCGACCGTTATCGCTGGATGAACAGAATCTTTGGGTGTTTCGGGGTCTCCAACCGGAATTCAGAGCTATGGCAGCCTCCCTCACGGTGTCCGGTAATACACTCTCTCTTCCACAGTTGGCTGATTTCTTGCAGGCGCAAGAATTTATTTACTGGGACGAAATCCCGATGGCTCTCGGCGGCGGCGTGTCATGTGGCTCTCCTACGGCACTGCACGTCGGTTAGGGTAGAAATCAGCCAGGCGATGGCTCCGGTGGATGGCACAGTTTCAATAGTCGGCGCCGAAGCCGCGGCAACCGTGGTGGACAGGGACGTAGCGGACGCGGTGGCGGATAGCTGAGGTGCCAGATTTGCCGAGCACATGGCCATTCGGCGATTTGCCAACTTGGCTGTTCCCGGCGATGTGGTGACGTCGTCAGCAGCTGGGTCTTGGTTCCCAGACACCAGGGCTTCGGCTCATGCAACGCTGGACGCCGCTATGCTATCGCAGTCATCGGAGTACAATGGCGGGGACGTCCTGTGCGTCGGTAATGGCACAGGTTTGATTATTTCATGTGTTGGGTCTGCATATATTCCTTCCGTGTCAAAACCTTTAAAACTGTCAAAGATTTACTAACGAATATAACATTTTGTTTGAATTTCATAAAAATTGTTTCGCTGTGAAGGATCCGATAACTCGGGCAATTCTGCTTAAAGGGCCCACTTCGGGCGGATTATACAGGTTTTCGCTTTCGCAGTCACATTTTGCATTTCTTAGTTCCCGAACCACTCCAATGATGTGGCATCGCAGATTGGGCCATCCTCACAGTCAAGTCCTCAATAAAGTGTTACAAATCTGTCCAGTTAATCACAATAAATCCGAGTCATTGGGATCGTGTAACGCATGTCACCTAGGAAAGGCATCACTGTAACACCCCATGTTACGACCCCTAACTGTAACTAAATATTTAATCACTTACCCTAAAAAGAGAATTAAAAACCCATTAATCAACTAAGAAAGGTCCACCATAGTCCATGGGCCCACATCCCTATAACCAACTTCTTAGTCCTATAAGGAATAGAATTAGCAAGCCCATAGTACTTAGACCCCAATTAGGACTCTTAGAAATATATATATAGGGTCATAGAATGAACCTAGATCTTACACCACAATAATTTCTCACCACACAAAAAGTTCCAAGAATCCCCTTAGGAGAAATCAAGAAAGAAGGAAGCATAAAGAAAGACCCTTCATAGCCAAGGAAATTAATTAAGGCTAAGAGGTAACCCATGTCTCAACAAAACCTATTTTCTTCGCTATGATCTCCTTCCTTGGCCTCCTTCTATATGCTTATATCTTGATTAATTCCCCTATGCTATTTGTGATATATTCTTGATGATTGATAAGGTGATTTATGTGTATTCTTGATAATCTTGATGATCTTGATGTTGAAATGAAGTTCTTGATTTTGATATGATGATTCTTGACGAATCTTGATATTCCTTGATGTTAAAAGATAAAATATGATTTTGATGATTTGGGTGGGATTAGAGCCATAGGTTGGATTGGGAATTTGTGTTGGGATGTTCTTGATGTATATTTGGGTGAGAATTCGCATGTTCGGGTGTTGTTTATGTTTAGAAGTCATAATAGGATGAGTTGTACATGATTCTTGCTTTTGATCCATTAATTGACTACGTGGTGTCGTTAATTGCGTTTAAAAGTGTCTAAGCATGGTTTCGGGTTCCACAAAGGATCCCGGGATGGATTTGTGATGAATGAGCCAGTGGGGGGTAGGTGAGGGTAGGGGTACCCGCCACCTACCACCTACTCCTATGTTATATTTCGGGATTTAATGAGGATTTATCTTTATTATATAAGTTTTAAAAGTTCCGAAATTTCGGGGTGTTACAATCACAGTTTCCTTTAGATATGGTGCTTAATTCTAGCAAAAATGTACTGGATTTATTGTATACAGACATTTGGGGTCTGGCCCCGGTCCTCCCAAATAGTGGTTTTAGATATTTCTTGTTATTTGTAGATGACTGTACTCGGTTTTGCTGGTTTTATCCTTTACGGGTAAAATCAGATATTTATAAAGCTTTTGAGTCGTTTCGGGTCATGGTAGAACGCCAATTTACGCGTTCTATCAAGTCTATCCAGTCCGACTTGGGAGGAGAATATAAAAAATTACACAAAACATTCCAAGCTCTCGGCATTAATCACAGACAGTCCTGCGCTTACACGCACGAACAAAACGACAGAGTTGAGCGCCGGAATAGACAAATTGTCGAAACCGGATTAGACTTTCTCGCCGAAGGCTCAGTACCCCTGCAATATTGGGATTACGCCTTTGAAATAGCTACGTGTCTCATAAATTACCTACCCTCATCAGCATTGCAATTTGAAAGTCCCTACTACCGTCTACATAAAGTGTCGCCTCCATACACGTTTCTTATAGTCTTCGGGTGTCGGTGTTACCCCTATCTTCGCCCTTATAATAGGGACAAGATAGAATACCGCTCAAGCCCATGTGTATTCCTAGGTTACCCACCATCCTATAGAGGTTATAGATGCTTAGACTTAACAAGTGGAAAAGTCTATATCTGTCGTCATGTCCAATTTGACGAGTTGACTTTTCCTTTTTCAGACTTAACACTGTAGGACAAGCCGCACCAGCCTGCTCCTTCTATGCCATGGGCGGCCAGGCCCATAGTGTTGCACTCTCTACCGGCTCTGCCCATAGCTTCTGCACCGCCCCCACTGGGGCCCATGACACGTACACTGGATCCCGCACCATTAGCTATTGAGGGTCCCACAGAGACCGTCACGGCTAGAACCCGTGCACCCCGTGTACCACCAGCTCAAGACCGTGGGCATGTTATGCGTCTACGTCACATGACTAGGGGCACAAACGAGCAATTTCATGCCCTAACTACAACTACTGATCCAACATGTTACTCACAAGCTGTAGGCCATCCTCAATGGCGTGATGCCATGGACCAAGAGTTTAATGCGCTGCTGCATAATGACACTTGACGGCTTATACCCCCCCCCCCACCCAAGCCAGACATGAATATCATTGGGTACAAATGGGTGTTTCGGACCAAACGCATCGCAGATGGGTCAGTAGAACGCTATAAGGCCCGATTTGTTGCCAAGGGCTTCAACCAAGTTGTAAGTGAAGAGTTTTTCGACACCTTCAGCCCATTAGTCAAACCTACCACGCTGTGTCCAATGGTTGGACGCTCCGTCAGTTAGATGTGCACAATGCATTTCTAAATGGCCATCTAGCCGAAACTGTGTACATGAAAGAGCCACCAGGGTATGAGGACCCCTCACATCCTGATTATATCTGTCACCTCCAGCACTCACTATAGGGTCTCAAGCAAGCCCCACGGGCTTGGTTCAAGAGACTGCATGATTTCTTGGTTTCTGCAGGTTTTTTACCATCCAAAACCGACGTCTCTCTTTTCCAGTACACTACAGGGTCGTCATGAGTCTTTCTACTAGTCTACGTTTACGATATTATCATGATGGGTAATGATGCTGCCCGTCTTGACACGATGCTCCGTCGTCTCTCCGCTACCTTCAAAATTCGGGATCTCGGAACACCAGGTTTTTTCCTTGGCATAGAAACTCTGACAGTCAACGGCAGATTTCTCCTTTCACACAAGAGGTACATGGGAGATATCCTAAATCGAGCTGGAATGATAGATTGTAAGCCGCTTGCAACACCAGCCGCTGTCTCTCAGGTTGTAAGCCCGTCATCTCAATCTTATGAAAATCCCACTCAATACCGACGCATTGTTGGAGCCCTACAGTATCTCACAATAACTCACCCAGATCTGTCCTATGCCGTTAATCAGCTCTGCCAGTTTATGCACTTTCCCACAGATGAGCACTGTGCCCTAGTGAAGCGGGTTCTATGGTATGTCAAGGGGACTCTGGACTATGGTTTGCCGATTGGGCTGGCTGTTCCGATTGATAGGAAGAGTACTAGTAGGTATGCGGTCTTTTTGGGGAACAACCTCATCTCTTGGCTCTCTCGAAAACAGCGCACGGTGGGGCGTCGTCAACTAAGGCTGAATACAAGGCATTAG